CGGCCTGCCGGCCTCCTCCAGGGTTCCGAAGCCGGGCTCTTGCTGAGGGATGTAGCCCGAAAGCCCATCGCAAACCACGGTTTCTTCCACGGATTTGTTCGGGGGGAGGGGGGGAAACAACTATAGAACCCCATTCTTTTTGTGATGTAGAAGAGGAAATCGCACATGCTCTGCGTCCAAATAATTTGTGTTTTTCTTCTCTACGTCAACTTTAAATCTCTTTAGTAAACGTATTTATACGGTATCAGATTTGGCCTCGCCTTAGCTTTGTGAAATGACTTTGATACAAGGTTTTTTGTCATGTTGTACGCATCCTTTTCTGTTCGGTGTAATCCTCAGGACCTGCCTGCTGGTGAGAACAAGCTTGCTTTCCTGTTTGTGACTTCCTATTTTTTTTACCCAGTCTTTCCTCCCCCTTAAATAAATGCATGGCTGTTCCTCACCTCCTGACAGTTATTGAATCCGAGTAATAAACTCCAGAGGTGTTATTAGAAGCATCTGAAACACTGTTTACGGCTTCCAGTGTATGTGTTTTTTGTTTTGGTGGAGGAAGCAGGTAAATATTTTCCTCAAGTTCTCCAGTTTATTCTGCTTGTTGAATTTGCAGGAGTCCATTGGGTATAAGAAATAGCTCCATACTGAATTCAAACTGTTGTTCCTACTTAAGCCGTAGCTAACATTTTACTTTCATACAGAAGACGTCATTAGGACTGAAGGAAGGAGCGATTTGAGCATAAGGGCGCTCTTTTTTTAGCTTGATAGATTTTTTTTTTTTTAAACTTCCATTTTGCTTTTCCTCTGGATGTGTAAGGCCAGCTCAATTTTCATGTCCTCTGTACTTATAGTATACATGAAAAAGGTTATTAGGGTGCACAGAATGACTTCATTAACACTCTTGAAACTGGGGATATTTTTGAGGAATAATGTCTGAGCAAAAGGTGCAAAATTTGACTTCTCATAGCCTCAAGCGGCCCTACAACTGAAATAATACGGTGAGTCTTATCCAATTCGGACGGAGCTTGGGGAGCTGTCACTACAGCGTTAAGTTTGCTGGCAACTCATGCCTGCAGTGTTATTTGTTAAGAGCTATTCCAAGAACTGCTTTTCATATTGGCAGGCTTGAATATGGACTGTACCTAATCTGTGCGTATCGTTACCAGCTCTTGTGGCTGCAGGTTGATACCTGCCTGATGTGGTACCATCACTGTTGTCTTGAAAATGCCAGAAGCTGACCTGTGTTATTCTTGTGTTTATTCAGCATTTACCTGAAAAATCTAATTATATGCGATTACTAATCCAAGAACTTCTGCTTTTCTCCTGAAGATTTTTGGCAGTTGGATGTTGAGCATTAACTGGGCTTATCTGCTCTCTGAGAAGGGCCGCCCCTATCCCTTGTACTTTGACAGATTCCTCATCGCTTGTAACAGCAAGTAGCACTGAGTTTCACGTCCAGGTAGCTCTTCCCGCTCTGTCTGAGCAGCTTTTTGTATGTTAGCTATTTCAGAGATAATATATATTGATTATATTTGTGTAAAAGCTCCCCAATTCACCCATCCTGGCAATTCTTGCTTCTCCTACATCATCTTTTCCAGAGAAGGGAATGCTTGAGGGAGTAATGGAGCATTAGGATTACAAACATTGCTGCTTCCTAGGCTTGTGTGTGCTCTAGAAATAGGTGTGATAAGGAGCAGCCACCGCTCCTCCCTGCATGCTGACTTAGCTTCCACAGTGGAGCTTGAAAGAAAGCTTTGACTCGGTGGTTGTTTTGTTTGTGTTAGCTTACTGAACTGTGCTGATTTGTTTGCTTAACTTTAAACCCCTGTTCATCCATTTGGCTCTAGTTCAGATGCCCAGTTTGGTCTTTGTTGTACTAAACCTTGACATTTCAATACAGTATCGAGCTCTACTGCTCTGCAATGCTATGTGGTCTTAGAGATGCACACAGAGCCAGGAAGTTTCCTTTTTTTTTTTTTTTCCCAAGGTTATATTTACTGCTTATAAAAACGGTTCAGAACATGGCTTTTGTTTTTTCAGGTTCTTTGCTGAAACTTAGAATCTTTATCCTGTCCTGACTGTAACAGAAGATGTTGCTTTTTGTTTTGTACTGAAGGATATTTGAATTTCGTTTTAAACACCCAGTTCTGCTTCTCCTTCCACTTTGCTCCAATAATCCATCATTCTTCAGTAATTAAATGATATGCTTATTCTAGACAGATACCTAATAAGAAAACCAAATACCTGCTCACCTGGGTGATCTCAGTATTGTCTGATTAACAAAAATAACCTTGAAAAGAAGAGTAGAATAAACATGAGGTGGGTAGGGAGTTTTATGGTTCGGGTCATATTAACATTCAAGTAACTGTACACTGAACAACTCAATTTTGGTGCCTAGCTTAAATTAAAGCTAAGGTGAAGTTTCCCTCATTTAATATTATAAAAACTTGGAAACTATCAAGTCTTAATGTCTTTGCAATATGGTTCTGAACAGGTGAAAATACAGAAGTAGTACAGAGACAGCTCTCAAGATCGGTGCAGTTAATGTGTGTTACTTAGGGGACATCTGTGATAGGATGGATTCCTGAAGAATTATTCTTTAACTGTCACTACAGATGAAGTTGTGAGTCATTACAGTTGCATTTCTTACGTAAAGGTTGGTTTTCAGACACCAGTTCCAGCCCTCCCACTTTTTACTGTTGGCTGCTTGAGGATTTCAGTGTGCTGTACGGAGGTGATATTAAAGAGGTGAGGCCAGGTATGTGTATAAAAGCATTTAAAAGCACAAGAAGTGCGGTGATCAATTAGGATGTGCTGACCAGGTAACACAGGGGAGGGCTGCTGTACTGGTAACAGTGAAGCAAACTATGGTACAGGGTATGTTCTTTACACACTGTAGTTTTCAGGTAGCATGTCCAAATACATAGTGTTTTGTCAGCTAGCTATCAGCATTGTCTTATTTCTCTGCCACAGAAACAAACCCATGACTTTTCTAAAGCTTCATGGGTTTTACTGAAAAGCTTCACTCAAATGTAAAGGATGAGGAAGGAGACTATGAGTTAAGTTCAGCTTGTACTGAATATCTTATTTTACCTCTCTTCTTTTTTCCCCAGAATCTAAAAATTTCTGTTGACATCATTGAACTTGTCAAATTCTAACAAAACAGAAGCCAAATCACAGATTGTTTGGAGAGTGAAATACACCTTTGTCTGTCTTAATATGCATCACGATTAGAAGCTTGTATGGCTCTCAAACATCAGCAGGTAAAGTAGCTGTCTGTAAAATAGAGGAGAAGGTAGCTTGGTCCAACTATGTCAAGAATATTACTTGCCTTAATTGGGATGTCAAAGTAATCCTTATTCCCTCTTTCAGGTATTTAGAATTGCGTTGCTGTTCTGAAAGCTTCTGAAATTCCTCTGTTGTGGTTTTGTTTGTTTTTGTTTAAAGAAACCAAACCAACCAACAAACAAACACAAGACAAAATAGAAAATAAAAAACCACCCCCAAAATACGTTGGGAGGCAAGAGAGGTGTTTGCCTTGGCCAGTGTATTTTTTTCCTCTTTTAATGCTGGAATATCCCTAGCTGTAGTAACGGAAGGAATGTTGTATAGTTGATGCACTTCAGAATGCTAGGGAAATTCCAGGAGGTTGGAGAAGTGTTGGTGTATCGGTATTAAAAGGAGATGGAGTGGATGAACGTGGCAGCTAGAAATGTAGCACTGTGCAGAGACACCTGAGCTACCTTGGGTATTTGACCAGCACTGCGTGATGTTAGTGCACACACAGCTTACATTATTACCAGCTCTCCTGTTTATTCTTAGTACAGAATTTAGTGAACAAGGAGAGAAAAGGATGTAATAAATCCTAGTAAATAAGGCTTTAAATTTAACAACTCTGGTTTCCTTATTATTTGGCTTTGTTAAAGGTGTATCTTGATGTTGAGGACTTTGCAGAATATAAAAATTAGTACTGAATACCATTCAGATCAGGATAGTTCAGATGCAGTCCCGGCGTGTACAAGACAGAATAGTTTCCATGGATGTTCAGCAAAAGCTGGTAATTGCTTGTCACAATTTGTTTCCATTACTGATTTTATTGGTGCAGAAGATCTGTGATTTAAAACTTTTGTGTGATAAAATTGTGGTTCATGGAAAAGCAAATAGCACTAAGGCAGCCATTGTGATTGTCAGGTGAAGCAGACCCATTCAGATGTGTGTGCACTAAAGCCATACACCTGGGAATAAGGCAATTCAGCTGGATTTAAATTGAGGCACGGGGTGTCCTAGAAAGCAGTGGCTGAGCTGCATTTTGGAGTCCTAGTGGATAAACAGCTTAAGCATGAGTTTCCAAGGTGATGCTGTCATGAAGACGCTAATGTAGTTCTTAAATGTGCATTAATGGAATGAGTAGAGATACCTTCTTGCCTGTGTGGGGTGTGTTGAAGTCATTACCAAAATATGGTGTATGGTTCTGGCATCAGCACTAAACAAACAAAATTACTGGCTGCGGGGGGATTAATCTCCAGTTTGATGGAGAGCTAAGGAGTAATGCCATGCAGTGAAGTGTTAAGAGTTTACTGTGCAGCTTCTTGGCAAAACTTAGGTGACTTGATTATAGAGTCCTTGGATATCTCCCTGGCAAGATAATACTGGATATTAGTGAGCTCTTTTTAATCTTGCTGACACACACAACAAGAATTTGTAGCCAGATAAGTTCAAATTAAAAGATGAAGTTTTTCACAGTGAAGGTGATTAACCACTGGATTATGATATGAAGACCAGTCATGTATTTCTTAATTTCATAACATCTTTGAATCAAGACTGTGGAAAAAATTATGGAAATTCTTCAGCCAGATGCAAGGTACTGAATTACTTTTGTTTCATATAAGTTTAGAGAACTGTAATTCATAAGAGGTCAGACTTTGTGATCATGCTAAAGAAAAATGATGGGGAGCAGCTCCTGTCCTCTTTCACCAGCTTCCCTCTTCTTGAAGAGATAGACTTAGGACTTTTCCTTAGAAATCAAGAATGTGATCAAGTGGTAAAATCTTCTGAACACGAGAAAGTAAGCAGGTATCAATATATATTGGAGGTGTCAAAATAGAGTCCCATATATATAGTCCAAACTTGTGACTGTAAAAATCCTTATCTGTGGCTGTAGTGTTAGTGAGCTGTTGGTAGGATAAATGTTCCTTCTTTGCTGCCAGGGCTCACTGCTGGCTTGTGTCCGGCTTGCTGGCTACCAGGCAGCCCTAGCTAGGACCTTGTCAGCAGCGCTGCCATCCAGTCGGTCCTAAGCCTGTATCACTAAAGGGCTTCTTTGTCCCAGTTTGTAGCATGGGAAATACTCAGTGAGGGTGAAGCAAGGTGACTTCTATTGAATCCGCTTCAGGAAATATAGCTTAGTAAAAAATATTATTTATTGTATGTGTTATGCAAAATTGTTTATTGAATCATATTTTATACATTTCATTTATATGTATTGTGTTTATTTTATAATGCAGCGATGCTAGTTTTAAAGTGGATGCTGAGTAAAATACTGAATTAATCAAGAATAGGGAGAATAAAGCTGTGGAAGAAGGAGTAAATAACACTTAATAATTTCAAGCTATGTTAATGTGTCATGCGAGGAGACTTGACATAAGTGTTAGACAGTTTCTGAGCTCTCTAGAACGTTACAGTGCCTGCTGGTGGATTAAGCATCTCTAGGTGGAGACTGCTGAAAGCTAAAAGTGCTTTTCATGTATTAGATATCTTGAAGATGGGAAGTGGGGAATGTAAGCTTGAGGACTCTCAGCTGCAGAGCTAACTTGCATAGAATCCACGTGCTCCTCTGGATGGTAATTTCAACAGAAGCACCTGATGCTTGAGTTTGGCAAGTCTGGATTTTCCTGGCTGTTTGTAAGAAGGGAAATAGGGTGGCTCTGCTGGTACCGCTTGTGTTCTTTGCAGAAATTTGGTCTGCGCCCAGTCTGATTGCTGTTCTGTCATGTGGTTCCAAGCACTTGCACAAAGCCAACTTTTTAGGTGGATAGAGTGAGTTTTGTGGTGAGCCTGTCCCTTGTAGGAGGAAGAAATTGGGAAAACACACCACAGTTGAGGGAGAACCTATTTTGGGAAGAGCCTGTGGAGACACTGTAGGTTCAGAAAGGGACCAGCATGTCCAAAGGCTAAGATCCCTAATCCCGTGGCTGGGTGTTGGGATGAGCGTGGTAAACCACGGACATGACTGACTGTGCTCCCTACATAGCGCTTCCCGCTTGAGCTTTTGGAGACAAACTACTTGACTAAATGGACACTGATCTGTCCTTGCAGGGCATTATTATTTTTTTTTTAATGTTGGTGTTGGAGAAAAGAATTTTTTTTCTTTTTTTCCCAACCTATTGATAAAATCTATACAAGTGAATCTACAGCTCTTGCAATGTTGGGAATAACACTAACACATTTAGGGAAGTAAAAGTCATGGCTTCCCTGGAAAATTAAATTGGCTTGCATCGGGACTGTTGTCACCCCATTTCCTTCCATTTGTGTGCTTAGTGGGTTTAGAAAAACTGCAGCTCTGAGTTTGATTTAAGCCTTTGTGGAACCATGCCTCAAAATGTTTTGGGGTAAGTAGAGTCTTTCTGAAAAGGGAGTTGAGACCACAAGTACTAATGGCAGCATTTGGATATTTGCAAATGTTTTGTTGGGTTTTTTTATTTTACTGTTTTGAATAGAGCAGTAAACTTTTGCTGTATGTTTAAAATCACTGTCAAGGGAATTGAACTCTCCCATTGTTTAATGATGAAAGAGACAGCATTGCTCTGGACTGGCTCCTGGAAGAGCTTTTCACTGCTGTGGAAAACCAGTAGTGATTTTTGGCCAATTGCTTCACCTTCTCGTGTAGTTTCACTGTCTCCTTGTATTTGATTTGCAAAGCTGTTTCCTTGAAACCACCTCTAAAATCCAGAGATTTAAAATGAAAGCAGGAAATGATACTGAATTAAAAAATGTCCCCCTGTTTTGGGTTGTGTACAAACTTGATACGAGTGTAACAATACTACATTTTAAAACAGTAGCTTTCTTCTACGTGCTAAACCATTTGCAGTGGAGGTGCAATATAAACTTCAGTCTTGCTTTCCTAGTGTGCACTGCAAGAGAAACCTTTGGAGGTACTTCAGGAATTTTCACATTACAGGTTGGAAAAAACAAGTTTTTGAAGGCTGGTAGTTTCAGTCAAAGCTTACCAGATTATTAAAACCTTTTTTCTTTTCTTTTCTTTTTGGAGGAT